TTAGCATGGTATTAATGCGATGTGTTGCCTTATTGTCAATACATTGTAATGATAAGTAGTTTATAATTTTAAAGGCACACCAGGTATAGGGTATGTGTTTCTAAGAGGATAATCTAAAGCATTTAACTGCCAAATAACATTATTGATAACATTGTAAACTTTTCTGAATAGAGAATATAAGAATAAATAAAATCTTAATTTATTGTCACCATCAGTAATATTAACTTGCCATTTCAGGAGTGCAATATTGATAAAAGTGGCTCACTTGAAAGATATAGACATTGCAAAACAAAAAAGAAGCTATGAATGTGAAATATAAAAGTTAACAGTTTAATCATTTAAAATAAATTCCAAACACATTTTTATACTTGATGAATGGGGTGTTTTTAAAGTGTTCCAAATAATATAGGACACATTAAAATTCACTTTTTCTTAGTTTGGGTCAGACAAATTAATTTTTCCTGATCTGTACTCTTAACCTACTAGTCAATCAGGTTTTTATTCTAAGAATTGGTCTGAGGCTAAGAACTAGAAATAGAATATGAATTCCCAAAACAGTCAAACAGCCTGAGACCGGAGAACGAACTCTCGAGAATCTACATAAATCGACATGTTCTCTCGACCCTGTCGTTTCTGGCAGCCTACCAGGCACAAATCTGCGGTTCCACATTCTACGATTCTAACACCTTCTTATCATCCTGAAACTCAGAAAAGCCTGCGCACGAGTCTCTAAATAAAGCAAGTGTTCATTTTTATGGCTCGATTTTTGACACCTGAGAATAAGGCCGAATCATTTTATAAATTCCTCATTGTTTTTTGCCTACCCATCAATAAACAAAAGTTTTAGTCAAAGGCTTTATGTATTCTCAGAGTTCTGCAGAAAATGTTAGTACTCTACCTGGATGAAGCTTATTAAAATTTGAAACAGTCAAGAAAAATGAAAGCATATCCTCCCAAGTATAACACTTAGGTAGTTACGTTTTCAATCATCATTCAGCAAATACATAGAACATAGAGCTGAGAAAAAGAAATAGAGATCATTTGTTTCAATTCCTTTATTTAAAATATTAGGGAAAGGAAGTCCAAGAAGTAATAGGACTATTCAAGTTCATGTAACTACAGTGTGTGGGGAAATCATGTTTTCTGAGGCCGTCTTTGTTCTACCAGAGCACTGTTTGCGAATTGTGTAATACTGAGTTATAGTGGACCACTTTTGTTATTAATCACTTATTCTCTAAGTACTACACTAAGTATCATATTACATAATAATGGAGTGTTTACAGGATATCACACTTAGAGAATAAGTGAATAATAAAATAAAAATTAATAATATAGATTCTACCAGTCCCTAAATTGTTGCCTGGATATAAAGTCAGGACCTCTTTATGATCACTAGCCTATTAGTCAAAGAGTTAATTATGTAATAATACAATCAGGCCCCTGGCGACAAGCAGAAGCTACGTAAGAGTGTGTTAACCAAAGGACAAATCAAATGTAGGGACCCTGTGTGCTGGTCTGACCTCTGCCTAACTCTCTAGCAGAGAGATCTGAGGACAAGACCTTCACCCAGTGATGCTGACCATGCCACTTATCATTCAAATAAGGAAGAACTGGAGACCTTTTCTACATCAGAGTCAATATTGACTTGCAAGGTAGTCAAAAGGTGAGGTTTCAAAGCTTGAATTTCATGATAGTCCACTATTATCATCTCAATATGCTTCCAAACGGGGAGAATGGCCAATGTTCCCAAGTCATTCTTACTTAACAGAATGGAAGCAATTTTCCTGAGCTCAATGTTTAAAGGTAGGAAAGCACGGCTGTCTCACAAGAATGTTGGGCTACATCCCGAGAGGCTCATTGGTATCTGAATGGTAGCTGGTGGGGATCCATGGCCTGTCACCTCTGTTCCTAACTTCTGGTAGTAGTCCCAACACTGCGAACAATTATAGGCCATATACATGTAAGAAAATATGTCTCCCTTCTATAACAGGAAGAGAGTTCATCAGACTCTATCTTTTGGGACCCCAAGAATCTAAGAGTTCTGATTCAAATAGTGTTTGGCATTAGTACAGATAAGGGAATGCTTCTATTAATGAAAGTTAAAAGTCACAAATGTCTGCCTAATGACAATGCTGAATACCTGTTAGTTCACATATACACCTTTATAATTTAAGATATTTATCCAATACCTTTAAGTTATAGACAGACTGAATATCTGATATGGCTTTAGGCATTTGAGGAGAAGATATCCTGGATTCTCCTAAAATTGGTCTAAAAAATATTCTGGATTGAATCTGTTCCCACTGGTAGCATTAGTTATATAAACGTGTATGTGAGTCTAATATTTCTAATTGGATCAGTTGTGTAGTTTATGTTTATTTATATATTAGCCACAGTGATTGATATATCCTAATTTTAATTAGGATTCAGACATAGTAACTGGTTTGTAACTATACACATAATAATTACATCATTTTCTGTCATTTATATTTAAGTTATCCATTGAAATTAAGCCAATCAAAATAACTTGATCTGTAGACAAGGAGAAGTTTGGTTCTCATATACAAAAATCTTAAAAAAGTTTCCTTTAGGCATTTATACATATGTTGAGGTTCCTTTGGTTTGTATTGGATTTGAAAGTATTCCCATCCAACATGTTGAATGACAAAACACTAGATTCCCTTTTACAGTTTTGCAATCCAATAGACAAAACTTACTTTTGCTGGTAACTTCGCTCCCATTGCTGACCATGGAAAGATCGAGTTACATCTAACGTTGTTATTTTTCATTGGTGTGGCTAATGCTGCCAGTGGTGGTGGCACTAGGACTGTGGTAGTTTCTAGTTTCACTCTTGAGGGGCCACCAGCTACTATAGTTGCCACAAGAAACCAACAGTAAGCAGCAAAGCACAAATAGAAATTGCATATGTTCATCTTTTTTGTTGTTTAAAACTAACAACCTCATGAAGGTTTTAGAAACTGTCACCTAGATGGACTCTTAACTGCATGGAAATTGGCAAGGTGGGGTTTCAATAAAAAGTGGCTTTTATTGTAAAGAAGGGTTCGGGTGAGATGAATGTGCCTGAAGTACTTCGTAACCAATATGACTCAGTTTTAGTGGTAGGTACAGTCACAGAATTCTCTTCTGATAATAAGAAAAGTAAACCCTGATGCAAACAGAGGAAGCAAAATTTCGAGACCTAGAGCAAGGAAAGAACTGTGGTGCTGGGAGCAGTGTCTCAGCTGGGTGCCCCCCGAAAGCAGAGCCTGAGACAAGGAATTGAGTGCAAGTTGGTTATCCCCACAAATAGGTGTGAGAGAATGGAGAGAATGTGGAAAGACTGGGGCAAATCCAAAGATGGGACCTCTGAGAGGCATGCCAAGTGCCTCTTAAAAATGCCAGTCCCAAAGATATGTGGCTGGAACATTGGTCCAGAGGCTGCTGTCTCCCATCAGTTGAGGGCTGCCTCCAAGGGTGTTAACCCCCCCTCACACACACACACACACACACACGTGCACAGTCAGCTTGAGAAAGCAAACTGAGCAGGCATCTGCCATTCTGGAAAAGGCTCTGAGACAGAAATTAGGAAGGCTCAAAAAACATTCCAGAGGCCTGGGCTTTCAAGGAACTGTCCACTCGCTGAAGCTATGGCTGAAATTAGAAAGGGGCTCGGGGCATGGGAAACAGGACTTCCAAATTTTTGTGCTACAAATATCCTCACCAACAGCATCTGACTGATACTGACAAAAAGCATCAAGACAGTGTCAAATCAGTAGGGACTGAGTGTTTGTGTCCCCCAAAAACTCATGTGTTGAAATCCCAACACCAAACGTGACAGTATTAGGAGGCGTGCCTTTGGGAGGTGATTGGGTCGTGAGTGTGGAACCCTCATGAATGAGATTAGTGCCTTATAAGGATCTAAAGGGACCAGAGCTCCCTGCTCTCCACCATGTGAGAACACAGGAGGAAGACACCATCTGCAAACCTCAAAGGGGCCACACCAGGATCTGACCTCACTGGCACTCTGATCTCAGGCTCCCAGCCCCCAGAACTATGAGAATTTTCTGTTGTTTATAAGGCACACTGTTAATGGTACTTTGTTATAGCACCCTGAACCGACGCTAAATCAGATTTTCTGTAAGGTTTAGCTTAGCTTCTTTCACGGCAACTAGATTATTGTGAACAAAAAATGAAATAAAAGACAAATGTGAGGACATAGAATCTTTCCTTTCCCAGAAGAATCTACCAGGATCAGAATTATAAGGGTTTCAAACTCAGCTATCTATGTAGTCACAATACTGACATGAAAGCAAAGATGTAGCTTCACAAAGATAATATATCCTCATTGCATCATTCATTTCTCTACCCCTGTAACCACCAAACACTTCAGTCAGAGCCTGATCAATGTAGGTAAGCCAGGCCCCTCTGAAGTCTCCGTTATATTAGTCAGGCAGAAATTATTATACTTGAAATGACCAGTCACAGCTTGCCCTGGGAACATTATGGGGGAAATTAAGCTCAGCATTAATGAGTTAAAAAGCCTTTGGTTTCTATTTGAAAGCAGCAAGCTGGTTGGCCTATCTATTCTGACAGTGAAAGGTAAAATGATTTATAAATGACAATTTATAATTTATAAATAACTAAATGATCCATTCAATGCATGGTTTGCAATATCTATCCAATCAGAGTGCCACCTAGGGTTGCCGGATAAAATGCAAACATTGCATGGGACACACTTATACTAAAAAAAATTATTCTTTATTTATCAGAAATTCAAATTTAACCAGGAATCCTTTATTTTTATTGGCTAAATCTGGCAACTCCAGTGCCACCTCCAAACACATACAAAGAAAGAGCAGCTTCTTACAAAACAGTAATAAATGCTCCAGAATGTTTTACTAAAAGTTCTAGGACTTTCAGTAGCAGTAGTATTTCAATAAATTAATATGTAAATTAACTAACAATTTATATATTGTTTTCTTAGGCACATTTCTAAAAACTTTTCAAAGCATTTCAATAATTTATTTTGTCACAACATGGTAATTTGTATATTGAAAAAACACTGTGATGGTAAACAGGAAAACTCACATCAAATAATTTCAAAATGAGTTTGCAAAAGACTCCCAAGTACTTGTTAAGAGTCAAATACACATACTTTTCAATGTTTTCTTACGATTCACCTAAATAATCTCCTATAAATAAAATTTAAATCAACTTCTAACTCCCAGAACAGTTCTGCAGAATTCTCCGATGAAGAGAAATATCAGAAAACCACACCAGAGTCACTTCATTTTAGTTGCAAAAGTCTTGATCCAGCTCACTTCCAAAACAATTTCAGTCAAGTAGAAATCTTCTGACAATTCCCACTCAGAATGGCAAATAATCGCAGCCTTTTCATTCATTCACTCATTACCTCTCTAAAAAGCGAATGTGCAGTTACCAGAATTTTATACCATTAGTGCTCCAAGAGTGTTTCAAATGCAAACCTATAAGAGGAAAGTAAAAACAAATCAAAGTTAATTGTGACTGGCTGGAACAAAATGCTTAAATCGATAGGAGCTTGGCTCATCTGCTCATCATTTGCCCATTACCTGGGAGGCCAATACCTCCTGCTGGGCCTGGTTTTTGATACGGATACACCGTGGCCTGCATTGCCCCGGCGCACGGTAAGGAAACCCAGCCCTCCCTCTCTGACTCCCTCTCTCCTTTTCCTCTTTGCACCTAATAACCTATTCACTTATTCGTTCTCATTTTTTTTTCTGGGTTTTATGTCCTTCTTTGTGGGGGGGCGCGCGAGACATGCACACAAGGAACACTGGAGAGTCGTAAACTTTAGTAAGCAGCTCAGAGCCTTCCTGCAGAGCAGGCAGAGGGGGCACCCATATCTGTCTTAAAGTTGCTGTCTTCTCTCCCCATTGACTACTGCGATTTTCAGAAACCCCCAAAAGTAGACTGCATCTCCTTTCACAAGGCATCCCTTGAAATAAAATGCTGTTATTGCTGTTGTAAGCTATTGGACCCACATGAAGAGAAATAAAGCCCTCCAATTTGGAAGTAGTGAGTGTCAAGGACACACAGTGTCCAGGGGAACGGCAATGGGCTTTCGAAAGCCATGTGTGCTCTTAGCTCTCACCGATAACGGCTGATGTGTTAGGATAAAGACAAACTCATTTCTAACCCTCTGCTGCCTCTCACCGTAGCAAATGCCCTTCACCGTAGCCAGCATCCCCAAAAAGGACTGTAAAATGTACCTGCCCTTGAAAGTTCGTATGCATCTCTGAATCAGAGACACACACATCAAAGTTAAGAATGTCCAGGCAGGATGGTGGTGTGGATACATTACCTCCTATTTTTTTTTACAATTATCCAAATGAAAATCTTGCAACTATATGTTGTTGTTATTATTAATAATTTTCATGGTGAGGGGCAAGGCTCAAAAAGTTTTGAAATAACTAAGTTTTCCTATTCTATTTTACAATCAAACGGATGCTGTGTAACTGTTATCACCATATATTTACTGGCAATTATCCTCTCTTACTTTCTAGCTATTTTTGTTTACTCATGTATGTAGATTTACCTGATAGAAAAGTATAGAGATGACCACATGAGCTGAACCTACATTATTTTTAATATTTGTAGCAGCTTTATTCATAATAACTGGAAAGAATGTAGTCAACTGCACCAAAATAGGCTAGATACGTAAAGGTTAGAAATTCAGTCCCCACTTTAAAATTGTAGTATAAATAAAAATGGAAAACCCTAGAAGCACACTGATACAGTACAGGAGAAAGAGCCCAGAGCACCGGGTGACTAGAGGAAAATTGTGATGATGCACAAAGGGAAGAAGAACACAATACATCTGATAGCCAGCTTTAGCCCTTTCAATTGACTGCTGGCGTGTGTTCCACCTACAGCTTCCTCAATGCACCCTTTTATTATTTTTTTTTAGGAAAGGACATTCGTGTCCAATAACAATGTTAGTGTAGGATTTAAGATACATTTCTTAAAGCACCTTTAACATCAAAAAGCCACGAAGGGGCGAAGGGGCGTTGGGGGGGGGGTAGTTACCTAGCTC